CTCCTCCAATGTAAGCAGGGGAGAATGGAAGGTGACAAGAGAGGCTTTCTAGACCTGGTAGTAAGATAAGAGAAGGCCGGCTGGCACTTTTGCACAGCTGAGGCTCTTTTTTCATTATGTGTCTTCTTTGTGGATGCCTTTCCCAGTAGACTATGAGCTGCCTGTCACTTGTTCACTAAAGTATCTTCCGACCTAGCACAGGCCATGACATAACAGGAGATGGCATGACATCCTAGTAAAGGTGTTATTGAAAAACAACTGGAAATAGAAACCTGGACTTCAGAGCAACAACAGGCTAGAAATGAGTGTAGAAGTAAGACATCTACTGCAGCAATAGCCAACAGGCTCTCAGAAAGGCAAGGAAGGGAGAACAGGTACGTCTCCTGGAGTCCCTGGGATACAGCAGAGGGAGGACCCAAGAAACAGACACTAAAGGGGAAAGAAAAAGCATAAAGAATCATCCTCCCATTCATTCAGCCCAGACCTGTTTCTATCCATTCCATATCTCCCTCCCCACTCCCTTTTTATGGCAGTCCATGCTATAGTGGAGTGAAGGAGCCTTCTAAATTGTTTGGGGTTTTTTGTTTGCTTTTTTTGCAGTACTGAGGATTGAACCCAGGGGTGCTCTCTCCATGAGCTACATCCTCAGCCCTTTTTATTTTTTAATTTTAAAATGGAGCTCTCCAAGTTGCTGAGGCTGGCCTTCATCTTTCAGTCCTCCTGCCTCAGTCTCCCCATTTGCTCAGATAACAGGCATTGGCCACCATACCCAGGCGTAAATTGTTTGATATTGGATTTAAGTAATTAAAAAGGGAAACTTGTGCCAGGATTTGGGAGGCTAAGGTAAAAGAATCAAAGAGTTTAGAGCCAGCCTCTGTAACTCAGCGAGGCCCTAAGCAACTCAGTGAGACCCTGTCTCTAAATAAAATATAAATAAGGGCTGTGGATGTGGCTCAGAAGTTAAGCACCCCCTGAGTTCAGTCCCTCGTACCAAAATAATGATGATGATGATGATGATGATGATGAAGAGGAGGAGGAAGAGGAGGAAGGTAAACTTATAATTCTGGAAGAAAGAAGTCAGATTATAACTTAGCTTTTATATCTCTGCAGGCTAATTTCACTCATAGTCCCTGTAGCCCTTGGATCTGGGTGGTCCCTCCATATATGTTTCTATCAAAGATTACGAAAACTGACTGATATTTAAATCTAGGCAGCATTTCTGGAAGGCATATTTTCATTGACTTGACCTTAGACTTGGAACCTAGCTCTGATACAGAAGTAAGGATGAYATTGAAAGTAGGATTTTCAAGTTTGATACAAAACATTGATAAAGCAGCCACTAYAGCCCTGGATTCTAAGGGAAAGAAAGTACACCTGCTAGTTTGTGTCCATGCTTATAGCTGAGGGTTGAAGGAAGAAGATAAAGATAGACTAGCTTCAAGGTGAAAGTTGAGGTCAGACTTATGGTCAGTAGGGACTATAGCAGTAGTGACTTTCATAGAAGTAGGGGTAGGGAGAGTTCATCTTTGCTTCTAGGGAAAAAAATGAGAATATACAAGCAGAGTACCTGAGACAGGATTCTTCAGACCTTTTGTGACTTCCCTGTCCTCTCTGAATGATTGGTAGATCATTCACTTACCAAGTCCCAGGATTCCAAAGAGAAGCAGTACCCAGAAGGAGGAGGTAGGAGATAATTTCCTTCGCTTCATCTTGAAATAATCCACATGAGAAGTTGTTATCTGGAATGCCTGGGTTCTGGAGCCAAGATGAGCTGAAGAGAGTAAGTTGATGCCTGGCCTCTCAATGGGACATGAAGTTGCAGGAAGAAYTGAATCTTGCCAGGACCAGGGCTCTGAGAGGGGTAGGTTCTGTGGTAGCAGGGCACTGGGACAGCTGGACTCCTGGGTCCCAAGGTTGCTCCCACATGTGCCTGGCTTACTTTCTTTTCTCACTTGACTATAGCGGTAGCATTTATAGTTGCTACTGAGCAGGGAAGGCCACAACCTCTGGGTCCTCCTCCCTCTCTAGGGAGGGGCATTTCTCAGGCCATGCTTCCTGATAATATGTGGGGAGGAGAAGGGCTGGGGAGAACAGGGGGATCAAATCTTTTATTGGACAGGAGACACCCTCAGGGCCAGACGTCAGCAGAAACCTGTTTTGTCTGACAGTGTCTCATTTCTGGGACAGAGGCCTCTGTACCAAGCAGGGGGAGAGAAATGAAGTTTCCTGGATCCTAAAGCACTGGGTCTTGGTCCTAATATGTCAGCATTCACTCTCCAGGGGCAGCTGTAGAGAGAGCTAGGCACTGGGAGGTTAGGATGGAGAGCCTGCCATTATGAAGCCTCTTATTTGGTCTCAGAGGGCAATGAAAGCTGGCAGGAAAGAACCTGGCCTGGGGTACTGCTGGGTCAGAACAGGACTCTGGATGCTTATGGACTTGAAAGGGGAAACCTGGACTCTGGAAGCAAGGGGCAGACACTGACAGGAACCCCAATTTCACTGTTTCTTGGGTGATCCCTGTCACCACCCATCCACCCAGGTCATGTTGCAGTCTTACATGAAGCCTATTCCAAGGAGCAGAGCAAAAGGAGGGCATGGCGATGAACAACTCTGGCCCACAGAGACCGTGTGGTACGGAGAGGATCTGAACAAGGCGCCTGTCTGGGCATTGGCTTTCTCATTCATAAAAAGAGCCTATGAACAGGGAAGGATTGACAGATGCAGTGTCCKCGAAAGCACAGCACATATGCTTAGTAGTTTTCTTATGAATTTGGTGTGGCATTGGGAGCGAAGCCCAGACCTATCCATCTGGCTGATCCAGAAATTTTGACCCAGCAGAGCATGGGCCTGAAGAAGGAGGAGACCCGCGGGAGCCGCGGGAGCGCATGGGGTAGCAGGATCTGCTGCCACTCAGAACCGGATTCCAGCTAATATGCCAGTGCCCACAGCGGAGGTTAAGAGTCTCCAATCTGCTCTGCTAGGGAGAGAAATCTGAGGTGCGCTGGCCAGACTCAGCCTAGAGGGAAGGAGAGAACTCAGAGCCCCGGCTTCTCTGGTCCCCTCTTCCCAAGGACCGGGCTTGGGGTGTCTCCTTCCCAGATCCTGACCTCCCAATGCTCCCGGTCTTGGGCACTCACAACTGGGTGGTGACCTCCCCGCGTAGCAGGGAGCATAGGCTTATGAATAGCCAGTGGATTCCCTCTTGACCTACTCATGAAGTAATTATCCCTAGTGGGGACCCAGCCCAGAGCTTATTAAAGGATTTTCCTCTGGATTTATTTCACAGTGATAATTAGCAGGAAAGAGAGAGGCAAGAGCCTTGGCAGAAAACACGGTTCATAGTGGTGAGTGCAAAACTTCTGCTTCCCACCCTCCCTCTGATTCCCAGGGCTTCACTGGCACCTGGGCAGGAGATGGGGTAGGATCAGGTTGAATGTTTAAGACTCTAGGGCCAGAGGTGATTTAATTTAATTTAATTTTTTAAATTAGGGTGCAGACCAGAGGAGTTCAACGATTAGAGGCTAAGGTCAGGGAGTCTCTGCATCCCTCCCAGGTTGGTGACACTCCTGTCCTGACAGCCACCACATGCTGAGTCGCTATCTGCCCAAACAACTAAAAAAAACACATTCTCCCTCCTTTTCTAGCAGGCTCCTCAGCCCTGTCCCAGAATCCAGGTGTCCCTTTCTGCCTCAGGCCTTCATCAGGGACTGGCATGCCTCTGAGTCCCAGAAGGTCCAGTTTTGCCCTTAGCAGAGCCAGTGAAAGACTGAGAGACCCTCTGGTCTGAGGGAATGCTCAGCCCAGAGCTGGGTTCTGGCTAGCAACAAGGCCAGATAATTCATTGGCATCAATGTCAGGTTTAGGATTATTGTCCATGACAGAATTCCAGTTTTTCACAAATGGGGATGTTAAAAATAGCAAATGGCCCTATTGTTTGATTCTGAAAGGAGTTAAGATTAAAAACAGGTGTACCTCTCTTGTCAGCAAGGATGCCATCTTCCTCCAGCGAGAGTAAGAGCAAGGCTACACAGATGATGGCCAAGGCTCCACTGGGACTGACACATGGGCACAGAATAGTTTTGGAGCAGGTCCTAACATAAGCATGGGTATGGTAAATGCTTATAAATATTGGGTTTAATTCATTYGGTGTTCTTTTATAGTAATTTAGTTTTTATAGTTGTGTTATAGTAATTGTCATGACAACTCTTGTGGAATTATTTAAATTTTTTAAAAATATTTTTTAGTTGTTGGTGGACCTTTATTTTATTCATTTATTTATATGTGGTGCTGAGAATTGAACCCAGTGCCTCACACATATGAGGCAAACGCTCTACCACTGAGCCACAACCCCAGCCCAGAATTATTTAAATTTTTCTGTATTTGTGTCTCAAGTGGGAACTATGTCTTATACTTCCTTATATATTATATATCCTCAGCAGGATATATAATGAGAGCTTTAAAATGCTTGCTTGTTAAACATCACATTTTTCTCCTCATTTTGTCACCATACAAGTAAACCCAGTGTGAACTGAGGCTCTCTTATCCAAACCCAGAAACAACCATTTTAGAAACAATAGATATTTGGCCTCTCCTCCTCCCCTCTCTCTCCAGCTTCGAAAAACTCCTGTTCTGCCTCTATCCCCTCTACCCAGGATCATCTGTAAGGTCACTGCCAGAGCCACAAAAACCAGCCAGTTCTCCCAACTGATAGTCCAATAAGTCTTTACTTTATAAATATGTTGCACTTTATTATAAAAAGACTGAGAGAAGGAAAGTGTCATCTGTCCACTTGTATTATTCATTCTTTTTGCTCTTTCCCCAAAATGCATCTTTCTTGCTTATCATCTCATTCCCAAACCAGTTTCAATTAAGAACACTGTGGATGGAGTGTTATTGCTGTCAACTGTATCTCTTCCCTTCTTGGAGTCCAGGAAATAGGAATTGTGAGTCTAATTCCTCATCCAGGAAAGAGATAGGAATGGATGCCTTCTAAAAAAAAATCATGGTATGGAAGGTATTTGGCTAATGCCAAGGTTCTGCTGCTCCATCAGGTAGACTGGGTAGGAATTCGGGCCCTCATTTTCTTCTGGGTCATCGTTCTCCATGTTCTGGGTCAGTGCACGGCGTGTTCGAATCACAGAGAAGATCTGAGATTGGAACAAGAAAGGAGGAATGAGAATGATCTGCCATTCCTTCTGCTTTCCTCAATACCCACATCACAGGTTCTCCATTCTATTCTCCCTCAACCTGGACCTTTGGTTTCCTTCTTCCCCATGATTCCATCCAAGCCTCAGTCCTTATTCCAGCCCCAGATCCAATATACTAAGTCCCAGGTCCCATCTCCATATCTCCCCTTTGCCCTATTCTCCTTGTCCTTTGGTGCCCTATTCTTAATACCCAAGACTCTATCTCCAACCCCCCAATTTTTTGTGACCTTTTCGTCTCAGCCATAGCCTATTTCCTAATTCAAACTCTTCACATTTTGTGCATTTATTGCCTTCTCATCCCCACCACTTCTCTTTTCCTAGTTTCATTATTCCCTTTAACTCTAGCTCCTAAGCTCTCCTCAATTCCCTATCATATGCATTCACTTTCCAAGGGCACCACTGCCCCTTACCAAGAAGATGAGGCCAAGGAACAGCAGCAGAAGAATCACAGCCACCAGGACCACAATAACTATGGCCCATGGAGGGAATGAACCATTCTCTCCTGTCTCTCCAGCATGGAGACCTGCCTGTGAGCCACCATTATTCTGGGTTGAATGGCTCTTATTGCCTGGGGCTTCTGACAGGATGGAACTCAGGCGCACCCCAGATGTAGGGGATATCAAAGCCATAGGTGTGACATGGGCCCCTGTGGCCTTCTCATGGGCTGATGTGGTCTGTCCTCCATGTTCTATAGGTGTGACATGGGCCCTTGTGGCCTTCTCATGGGCTGATACAGTCTGTCTTCCATGTTCTATAGGTGTGACATGGGCCCCTGTGGCCTTCTCATGGACTGATGTGGTCTGTCCTCCATGTTCTATAGGTGTGACATGGGCCCCTGTGGCCTTCTCATGGGCGGATGTGGTCTCTCCTCCATGTTCTGTAGGTATTATTTGGGCCCCTGTGGCCTTCTCATGGGTGCATGTGGTCTGTCCTCCATGTTCTGTAGGTGTGACGTGGGCCCCTGTGGCCTTCTCATGGGCTGATGTGGTCTGTCCTCCATGTTCTGTAGGTATTATTTGGGCCCTTATGGCCTTCTCATGGGCGGATATGGTCTGTCCTCCATGTTCTGTAGGTATGACGTGGTCCCCTGTGGCCTTCTCATGGGCTGATGTGGTCTCTCCTCCATGTTCTGTAGGTATTACTTGGGCCCCTGTGGCCTTCTCATGGGCAGATGCGGTCTGTCCTCCAAGTTCTGTAGGTGTGACGTGGGCCCCTGTGGCCTTCTCATGGGCAGATG